GCGGCCCCCTAAGAGCAAAAAACCCCCCCCCCCCCAGAAAAAGAAAAAGTTAAGCATGATCCAGCCGCTGTAGTACACAGGTGGACATTGCTTGGAAGACAGGCTGCGTCTGAGGCCAGGTGGCCTTGTGCAGGCCTAGATCCTGGTCAGTTGGGAGGTTGGGGCATGACTCTTAAATACACACCTGCCTCTCCCACTTTCACAAAAAAGGAAAGAAAAAGTCAAACTACTAAAGAAAGGGAGATATTTTTATTGCTTACTCTATGTAGAATTACAAAGAATCCAGTTACAGCACAAAATCTTGTATATTCCAATCATGAATACTGACTTCCACCATCCTGTGTTCTTCCCAGTGAGATTATTGCCTCATTTTGTTTAGTGAGAAAGACAGCAGATGGGGTTCATTCCCTGCCACGTGAGGATTTGGAAAACAGGTACGCTGTGGTAAATACCAGTCTGCCGGGGGCAGGGGGACATGTATGTGTTCTGGGTGAACAGCACGTCCTCTAAGCCAGCTGGCCACACAGATGCCTGCATTGATCCTCCACATGTTATCAGTTGCGTGCATGATTTTAAAGACAACCTTAGGGGACCAGCAGATGGTGCAGTAATTATGTTGAAGTCAACCACAATTCTAGTCCTGGGCCTGCAGCTTAAAACTCCCCCTGGGTTGCACCTGTGCCTAAAACCCTGTGAGGAGAATAGGGTAGTGGCCATCCCCCCTGGGGGTGAGTTCTCACTTTCTGACTCTGCCTCTCCTGCTAGCACAGGAGCCCCTATCAAAAATCCCTCTTAAAAATTAAAGGGAACCCTGGGCCCAACGTGTGTGTGTGTGTGTGTATACACTATACACACACACAATATATACACACACACACTATTGAGACTTGGCTTCTGTGGAACATAAATTGGTGTGGAATGTTGTAACATTTTGCTGAGAAGGTTGATGCCTTGCTGTGGTTTTAGAATGAATTTCAAGTAAATACAAGTACTTTTTAAGAGACTGTTTATTCTGTGTTATCCTAAAGCATTAAAGTTAGGAATTAAAAGGCTTTAAAAGGGGCCAGCAGGTGCATAGCACTTAAGGCACTGGACTCCCACATGGCCAATTGCGGTTCTGAGTCCTGAACCTGGCAGCTTGAAAATTGCACTAAACACATGTGGGCATGCCCAAAATCCCAGAAGAAGGGATTGCAATGTGGTCATTTCTCTGTACAGCGAGGGCCTGTGCCCCATGGCCAAAAAAAAAAAAAAGTTTAAAAACTGACCAGAAATTTAACAAAATGATAGGTAAACTAACTTTTCCTGTATTAGTGTTCCAAAGATGCTTGAGACTTTATAAGCCTTTGTCACATTTTAGGGTCTTTTTTTTTTTAACCTCATACATGATATAAACCCATGATGATAGGATTTTTAAGCTGAATTTTATATTTTATCATTAAAATTTGATTGAAATAATTCATTTGTACATTTTAAATCTTTGTGGCAAAAAGTATTGGTTTAAATTTCAGTTTATAACTACTTTGCTGAAGTATTGATCTTATAAAATTTGAGTGTGTTTAGGAGCTTTAGAAATGATCCAGAGAATTTAGAAGTTAGGCCAGACATACAGTTGACAATCAGATTAGAAAACTAAGGAATTTTGTGTAATTGTGTGAATGAGGAATTACAGGTGTTCATAAATACTGAGCACCTAGTAAGTAGTGTGGTCTTGGGGTAACACTTCACAAAGACTTTGTTCTTATAGGGAGCTTGCATTGGAGTGGCTTTTTTTTCTTTTGAGGTTTTTGCCCTAGGTATACATGCTAGAGAGGGTGTGAAAGTGAGAAATCAGCCTCAGGCTGGGATGGCCACACTGCAGTCCTTTCTCGGTGCCCGTCTCAGGATTCGGGCGCATGCATTAGCGCCAGGCCTGAAATCAAGCCCTGGAGCCTGGGACCCACCCAGAGACGACCCCGTCACTCCCGGGCCGCCAGCTGGCCCCAC